GCAGCACTGTAAACAAGCAAACAGTGTCTGCAAAATCAAGCTCAGGCAGTGCTAAACCTCAAAGGAGAAATGACACCTCCGCAGTGCATCATTGACCAAAAGGAAAAGAACTACAAAACAGTGAGTCATGCAGAAGCAGAACCAGCTATTAAAACATTTCTATGAAAACACAAGCCGCTTTATATTCAGGTAGCAGGATTTCGCTTACGGTTCAAAACATAGGTACGTCCCTGTTAGTATAAGAAAGTATAAAAGTAGCTTCAAAAGTAATTCGCTACTTTTTTACTGTAATCATTAATTTACTCAATTACTTTCCAATGAAGTAATATCTACTCTTCTCAAATTACTTTGGAGGATAGTATTCAGTAACTTAATTTAATTACTTGTTTGAGTAACTTGTACATTTCTGATTTACGTGAAACTGTAGAAAAGATAAGGTATATATGTTCTGGTTTCTGCGTGTACATAATATTTCCTAAAATATGGCGCTAATGGAAACCTGTACCGTCAAACTGTAAAACGTGTTAATTCATAATTAAAAGAGCAACACAAAAGTAACGCGCGTTACTTTCCGGCTTGTACGTAGTTCAACTACCCTACTGAAGTTACTGTAGTTTAACTACTTTTCTGAATTGTTTAGTAACTTTCAATTACTTTTTATTTCAGTAATTAGTAGCTCACCGTAATTAATTTTTCCGAGTAACTTCTACTAAAATTACAAATTACTTTCCAATTTTGGTGCTAGGTTCGCTTATCAACATACATTCCTGCATGAAAAGATATAAGATATTAAAAGATCAGCTGATATTTCTAAAGAGGGGGAAGCATGTGGCGTAGGCAGAAAGGGGGGGGGGATGGTTTGGAGGGTCTGAAGACTGAAACCCCCTCAAATTTTCACGGGCCCCCGCTGCAACAACACTGCTACGAGGAGCGGGGAGTGGACACGCATGTCGCAAGTGAGGCCGAGTTACTGCGGGATTAACGCCAGAGACTGGCGTTTCTTTGTGTCCCGAAGCTGAAGGAGACTTGACGCTTTTGAAGAAAGTGGTTGTCCCCACTTCTCCCCAACGTAAGAACTCTCGCCCATTACAGGAAGTGTACACATGCATCCTCACTGAGATTGTGCTGTACTTGAAAAATTACGTCCTAAAAGGCAACGTAACCTCTTTGGGTTGTCTTTTTTCCTAAAACTCAGAATAACTTCCAAGATTCGAAGATCATTCGAGAGAGTAATTCCCCCGCCGCTTTTACAAAAAAGAATAAATAAAGAAGTAGTGATGGAAAGGAGTGTAAGTACATGGTACTCAAAGTACTACTTCAAGTATGTTTAGTACATTCTCTAAGCATGCACTTGTACTGTACTAGAGTATTTTTCCTGGTACTCTCCAAAGACAGTTCAACTCCCGACTTAAGAATTCACTCCCAAATGAAAAATAAAAAAAGGCGTATCATTTTCTGAAAACGCGCTATCGTCTTTCGAGGCGTCATTTCGTCATTTCACCGAGTGAAGTAAAGGCGGCTGCAAGACCGATATAAATAAGAGCTTTATAAGTTGATTGGGTCAACTAGCTCGTCAGCGTGAGTAAAATACAAAACTCTGTGGCGAATTCATCCACTATTTGCCGCCATTTCCAAAAACAAGCTAATGCACGTCCGATTACCCCTAAGGTAATGCATACCAGTAGAAAAAAAACTGCATAGGGGATGAACGGGCATCATGAAAATTGTGTTAAAATGTACTTGTACTTTTTATTGAAAGGACATTTTATTTATAGAACTTACTTCAAGGACATAGCACCAGGTGTACTTAGTACTTCACTTGAAGTGCATAACCTCACATTTCCTTTTACCTTACGTCCAGTACTTGTTAGAAATATTTCACGCAACCCTGTAAACAAGCGAACACTATCTGCAAGATCAAGCTCCGGCAGTGCTAAACCTCAAAGTAGAAATGATACATCCACAGCACATCGTTATTAAAAAAACAAAACAAAAGAGTGCAAGACAATTAGGCACGCAGAAGCAGAACCAGCTATTAGAGCATATCTGTGAAAGCGCAAGCTGCTTTTTATTTGGCTAGCCGAATTTCGCAAACAGATCAAAACCTATATACGTTCTTATTACCATAAAAATATGAAAATAGCTTCAAAAGTAATTCGCTACTTTTTTACGGTAGTTAGTAATTTACTAAATTACTTTCCATTTGAGTAACTTCTACTCTACACAAATTACTTTCGAAGCCAATACTCAGTAACCTTATTACTTTTTTGAGTAACTTGTACATGTCTGGAACTTACTTTTGATCTGTAACGGTAATGGTAACGCGTTCCTTTTATTTTCAGGTTACGTAGGTTGGTAATGCGTTTCTTTTATTTGCAAGTAAAGAGTAATGCATTTCGTTACATTTTTTTTAGTAACGCCTACAACACTGCTAAAAACAATATGCGCTATAACGGAAAAATCTTTATGCTTACGGGAAGCGGTTGACTTTCTGTTTTTGCAAACTGACACAACAAATCGTTTTTCTGATTACTTCAGTTCCTGTTTTCCTTAAACTGCTGGTGCAAAATGCAAATTTGACAAAAAGCAGGTACTTCTTATATGCTCTTACTGCCAAGGACACAGAAGTTCTCAAAGCTGTTGAAAAATTAAAACGTAGGTTTTTGACAGGGATTGACGGTACACCTAATTTAATTATTAAGTTCTGCTCTGATATATTTGCTTTTCTTTTGAAACATATATTTAAGCTATCTCTCGTGAGGGTATTTTCCTTTATTTGTGCAAGTCTTCTATTGTCGTAACTATCATTAAAGCAGGTGAACAGTCACTAATTATTAATTACCACTCCATTACATTATTATTCGGTTTCCTGAAGGTTTTCGGAATGGCTATGCATAATCAGATATCTAGGTGTCTAAGAAAAGTAATTAGTACTGTTCTGCGTAGTCTTTTTTCAAGGAAGAGTACTTTCATACAGAATTGAGCTCTTCCCTAGATTTCTCTGTACCGATTGTCACAAACACGGGAAAAATCTATTCAGTATATTTTGACATGACGAAGGCCTTTAATCGTGTGGATCATTCTTTGCTTCTTTGCAAACTTACTTTGTATGGGCTGTGTCCTAAGTTTTTTAATGGCTTAAGTGCCACTTGAGTTCACGCAGTAACTCTGTCCGTGTTGAAAACTCATTTTCAAAAGGCTTCACTATTATCTATCGTGCGTCTATTTTCTAGCCATGTACGCTCGAGATTTGAATTTGGTTCAATTATTTGGAAATTACTAAGTTTGACCCAAGTTGCATAAATTAAAAATGTGCAGAACAAAGTTTTTTGAATTATTTACCCTCGATACAATCCTCGATTCTTTTTTTTTTTTTTTGTAAATTCTGATATTCTATAATTATTATTTAGGCTCGAAATTCTCTCAACGAGGAGGGCGGGATATCACACACATTCATTTTCTTCATAAGGTAGTGCGTGCTCTAGTTAAATTTGAGAGTTTACTTGCTAGCATTGACTTTCATGTACCCACTAGAGCTATTCGTCATTTTTTAATATTCTCCCCTTATGAAATGTGTGAATCATCACCATTACCTCGAATGGAGTCTGGTTTTAATAACATGGGCAATTGTGAATTAGATATTTTCTTAATTTTGTTAATTATAAGCCAGCCTTGTAAAAGTGTATTTTATCTGACACTGAATTTGTATGGAAGTTGTATCTGCTTCAGAAAATTGTATTCCTGTCTGATCCCATGTTTCTGTACATTTCAAATTGTGTTGCTCTAAACACGACCTGACGGCGCATCACACAAAAGGCGTCATAGGTGTTTGTGGGCACTAAGGAAAAAGAAAGCATTATTTTTAATATTATTATTATTATTACTATTATTACTATTACTATCACTACAGTTACTAATAATATTACTATCATTCATTTATTATTAATATTATTTTATTTCATTTGATTGTTTTTTTTTGTCCCCACTAGTAATTACACTACTTATGTGTCTTTTTGACTGGTGAATTTGGGATATAGGTCAATGGTGCTTGTGCCAAATTCTGCATTATAATTTTTGTTTGTTTTTCATGACTAATTTTGTGACTGTTCTTATACACTGAGAAACTTTATCTTCAACTGGACGAACCCTGCATCGTGCAACTCTTAAAGGAACGATATTCTGTGATGTTTTTAAGTGACATGATCTGATTTGTATTTTTTTTTTGTTTCCGGTTTATTGAATTTTATAATTTTTTTTTGTGATTTGAAAGCCTAAGCTTCAACTAGAGCTATTGCTAATTCTAGTTAAGTGGAAACTTTTTTTATGTTTTTCCATTTCCTTTTTTTTTCTTTTTGTGATAGTTATTTTATATCTTTGCAACCTCGGTTGAGTCATACTGCGTTGTCCCGTGGATATGCTCCTGCATCGGAAATAAATTTCGAATTATATATTAATAATATTAATATTACTATTATTGTTATTAATATTAATTCCTGGCTTTGTGCGCCCATTACGTAACTTTGATTTCTGCTAGACGGAATAAATATATTTATTATTATCATTACTATTACAGCAACCTAATTGCAATATTACTATTTGATCTTTATTCCCCAAAACAAAATGTGTTTCATCAGGCGAACTCTACCGGAAAACCATTATGAACCCTCCCTTGTAAAGAATCGTGACGTCATGGTACCACTTGGCGCCATAACGCAACGTAACATTATGTTGTAACGTGGCGCCGTGACATCCCGTAACATCGCAACTTTATGACGTTAGGGTCATGTGATCTGATATTATCACGTTACATCACACTAATATATCATGCGCCCCAGCTCGTTCAGGACACATTCTGTGATTTTCCGGTCTTTCTCAGCATGAAGAATCAAGTGTAAAGTTTTTGCGTGATTTATAAAAAGCAAGAACCTATTTTGCAAAAAAAAAGTCTAGCACCGAGTTGTGCGCGTTTACAAACATGCACTTCGTACGTTCTTTTGCAGGGCATCCTGTATGGCAGTCTTGTACTGGTCTACTCCTCGCTGAAGGATGACTCTTTCCGGTTGTGCAAGTTGACATACTATCCAAACTCTGGGATAACACCCGAGGAACACATTGAAGTTCTCACAACGTCAAGGGATTGAGAGTAACAACATTTAATAATTATTCTGTCAATGTTCTTGCCGCATGTTCCATTGAAGATATCAAACAGCGTAGCATATAACTTAAGCGGCTCGAGATTAGATATGTGCGGGGCCTGGAATGCGTCTTCGATAGGTGTGTTTAGTATTTTTTGCCACCCATGGCATCAAATCTGGGCCGGAAGCGGCAACCAATTACGTCAGGTGATTCGGTGGCAATGCGTTATGCTGTCATCTGTCGCGATCCGGGCGATTGCTCGTAGAAGTGGTGCCAAAAAAGGCGAGAGCGGACGCGAGTGTTGCCGCGGCGTTCCATATCGTGTCTGCTTTGGCTTCCATTGAATGTCTGGCTGCAGAACAATATCAGCAGAACTGGTGTCTGTCGAATCCACCTCTGCTGCTATGCCACCGAGAGGATCGCGGCAAGCAACCGAATGACACTTTTGTAACGTTATCGGGTGAAACTCAATGCACCACTTTTCAGGACATCATGACACATCAGTGGAGATGCGCACCAGACAACGTAATCTCAAAAATAATGAAGAAGAACTAGGCGCGCCATGTTTCTACCACTTAGAAGACTATAATGGAAGTGTGGAAAATATTTAGCTGGGCAGTTTTTTTTTTTTTTTTTCGGCGAGGATTCCATTTGTATATACATGTGTATATATATGTATTTGCACGTATGAATCTATTTTCGTATCAGGCGCACGTAGCAGTTCAAGCTAAGTAGACGTAAAGATAAAGAACGAATAAATTATATTCCGAGTTGTAAATTACCGCTGTGTTCGTCTTTTGTGTCTCCCTTTTGTCCCTTGTACTTTGTGCGGAGGGCTTATACAGCACGCTTCGAACAATAGTGGCTACCATCAAAATATTGATCTACGCTGGCGGTATTTTTTTTTCTTCCCGTGGAGTTGCGAGTAACAAAACACTATTTTAGTTAGAGACATATGGTTCAAGGATTCGAAGCAAAAACCGCCTACTTTCACAATAGGACATATAGAGCGATAACTTGGTTCTATCGCGGTGATAATAATGGTACGTTAAGCCTTTCGCTCGCTCAATGCGTGCGTGCTACAATGTGAGAAGATTTGCATGTATTCTTATCTCCTAATAGATTATGAGTCGAGAGTAATCTTCTCGGACTACAAACATTGCACAATACTCAGGACTGAAAAGTATAAAAACCGTAAGTATCTTAACTGTGCTAGCACTTGTAGTCCCTCAAAAAATAAGAAACCCAGGGCGTGGGGATTCCCACACGTCCTGTTATCGCTACACAGCCGTTTTGGGCGCCAGAGCATAGGAACGCTGAAGAACGACAAGAACCGCCGAAGGGTGCAAAGTCACTCCCCGCATTTCCTAAAAAAAACACTGAAATTAAAAACAGAAAAAAACAAGTTTTTTTAATGGGTTTAGATGGGACACATATATGTTTTTGTATGTAAATGTTTTTAGGAGAAGAAGGTTTTTGCAGCAATATTTACTCGGTTAAACACAATTTAGGTGGGGGTAGCTCTGCTTAAGGCGTCGCCCGGTGCTTTCGAAACCAAACAGCTTTTCCGGCTCTCATTGTTTCGAGAGATGATTGACGTGTGAAATGAAGGTTGTAAAACTGTATCTCCGTGCCGTAATGTCATTTTAATTGACAATAATTTCATATTTGAAAAAAACAATAATCTAAATAAAGTCACTACTATATTTGATATAGTCACGAATGACGAGTAATGAGGCGGCGAATGACTGAGTAAACTGAATTTTTAATGAGGCGAACTTTCGCCCAAAAAATAAAAAGAAACAGAAAAAAACAGAGCGTCGTGGGTGTCGAAGTCGGCGTGACAGCAGAGTCGAACGCTGGGGCGAAACTGCCTGCAGATCGCCACGCGGGCTCCTTATGTACACGCGCTGGCTTCTGGAACAATCGACCTGGAAGGTTCGGCAACTGGAACATTCGTACCTCGATCAAGCAACAGAGTTCTCGAATTCACCAGAACATTAAACTGCAAGAATAAATAAAAGGACGCGTAACTCCGGGAATCGAACTCCCGGCGGTCAAGCACGATAACCGTTAGGCCACGGCCGCGCTGCCTCCTTGGCGAGGTGCGCGCGCGGCATTACTCCCCCCTTTAAAAAGTGCATCGCCCCGATGTAACACAAAACAATACAAAATAAACAGAGAACGATAAACTAAAGAGTCATTTGGAACGCATTCACAGTCCTATCGAGCGTAGTACGGCTTCAGGCGACGACGTGGACAACTTCAGGTCGTGGTGGGCGGCGTGATGATGTTCTTGTTCCGTCGGGCATCACCTCGTAGTTCAGCTCCTTGAGGCGACGGAGTACCTTGTATGGTCCAAAGTAGGGTCATTCCATATCAAACGTCAAAGACGTCGCGCTCGACATCTTCCAAATTCAAAAAAAAAAAAAAAATTAATAACCTTTTGCCGCAATGTCCGTAGCCATGCCCTAAAATATTCTTGGCAAAAAAATTTTTCTTATGACGGGAGCTCGGTTTTAACTTTAAAAACAGCGCGATACTACAGTGTACTAGAATACTTGGGTAGTGTTGGGACCGGAGCGGCTCGGCAACGGGAGCTCGTGAGGACGCGTGTATTGACAGTTCGTGGCGGCGCTGTAGTCGAGTTATCCGGCTCGCGCAGCCCGCCTTTATTTTTTTCTTTCTTCCTTTTTTTCTCTTTGAGCGGTGCATGTAGCGAAAGCTAGGAGCGCGAGCTCATAGCGTTGGCAGCTGCCCTTGGTGCACGGGAGCTTGTGCCGCCGAGATGTGCCCTAGAGCAAGGAGCTCGCGCCTGTAGCCTTTCCTGCGGTACAGCACAAGGTGAGACAGAGTATAGGGCACGTAAAAAAATCGGTATTTTCAAATCTTTTTTTTTTTTAATTTTTGCGGTAGGCAAAGGTTTAATGAAATGTTTGATGGACCATGTTGCAATTGCAGCTTTAAAGGGAGCCATCATTAAAGGCCAACTTAATTAAAAAGTTCGCGAACAAACAACGAGCTTTGAGCGAAAGTAACAAGGCGTTCGTTTTGTTGTGTTCGTCCGTTCATTTTCGTTTCTTCCTCAAGCTTAATTATCTCTACCAACCCGCTCGTTCCTTCCTGAGATATTCATCGCTAAAATTTTGCCTTTCTTCACTTAATTAAAAAAACTGCGCGCTGAAAGCGCAAATTAGGTTGTGCTGATATTGATGAGTAGAAGAATGACGCAGGTTGTTTCTGTCCCCTCGTCACTCACTCGAAAGCGTTTTTTCGGTGGACTCGTCGGCGCCACACATCAAGACGACTAAGTTACAATTCTACGTATTATTTTCATAACGCGGTTTCTGAATCAAGCGAAGAAATGCAAACTTTTACGATTAATTTTACGAACCTCGTTGCCTTTTCGCGAATTGTCGAAATTGGATTTGCCTTTAATAATGACTCTTCTTAAAACTGCAATTGCACCATGGCCAATTAAGCCGTTAATAAACAAGTTAACTAACAGATCTTGGTTCATTATTAAACATTGCAACGGTTATTCGCCCATTCATTGTCCACCGAACCCTACAGATATAACGAAAGACGGCATCCGCATATCTGCCACATCCTTTTTTTTGTAAAATATGTAAAGTTCTGTAAAGAATAAAACAAAAACACCCTGAATGTCTGCGTGAACCAGATACGCCCCCTGTGGAGCCATGGGTGTTTCCCTTCGAACACCCAGCTCAGGCGAGACTTGCCTGGTTGTCAGCTGTCGGTTAAATGTATTGTTTTGAGCGTGTAGGTTTCAGATGGTTTACCCTCAAGAGGATAATGCGCTGCATATTGTAACCATGTATGCGCTGCACATTGTAGCCATTATTTCAATGCCGTGCTGTAAACTATTACAACTTTTTCCTTGCCTGATCTACGTGTGCTCATGTTTTCTGCTCAAAATGATGTGAAATAGTTTCTTGTTTTCTTTGAATCTTATAAAGCATTACTTGTTCAGCCCACATTGCCTCAGTTTTTGGACTTAAGTTAAATGTTAAAACCCGTGATAAAGATTGTCACGGCTTATAAGCCATTTCTTACAAGTGAACGTCGGGTGATTCTCGGATGGTCGTGGCAGCCGCGAAGAAATGGAAGATTCTCACCCATTTGCGACCGTCGCTTCGGTGGTTCGTCGCATAAATGGACACAAGAATGAGTGACAAGTGAAGCGAGCTGAATAAGGTCAAGAAAAGGAGGACGGGCAGAAAAGAAGACAGAGAAGTTAACCTGGGGTATTAAAAGCATACTAAAACAGTCTCGAACTTTAGTATGTGCCGTTTCGTTCCGTTATAAAATAAGAGAGGGAAAAAAGACCACTTCCGAGTTTTAGATATCCCTTTCAAATATCTAATGTTCGGCATTTGCGACCAAGGAAATGGGCATTTCATTTAAAATGCTCACCATCCGACAAACCGAAACCGCTTCTTTAAAGTCGCAATTGTTTTTATGTAAAGGAAGGGCAATGTAGCTTGTACCGTCCAATACATTAAAGCATCATGTTGCTAACGATCGTGCCGCAGCGTAATTGATGCCGCGGTACGACCGCTGGCAGGTCGTAGCTGTATCAGAAATCCTACGTGCACTCCACCAAAGCGGCACCAAAGATTCATGTTTTCGCGCGTGCAGCCGCGCATGCGCACACCTTCCGGATAAGGCGCCGGACGCGACACCTGTCGCGATCAATACCACGCGCTTCAGGCGAGCCCCTTCAGTCGCAACACTACCCAAGTATTCTAGTACACTGTAGTGATACTAGGCATCACTCAATAGTTGATCAAAAATCAGCTATTTAGTGAAACACCCAACAATATATTTTCTTAAATTTGCACGGCTTTCGACTTAAAATGTGACTGGGCTTGTAAAGTTTTGTTAAATTTTACTATCTTTAAAAAAGAACTAAAAAGCTTTAAAAATTTTGATATTTTTGTTTTTTTATAAAAAAAAATCTAATTGCTCGCGGGACTTAATAGAACTTTTGACCGGCTGCCCTGCAGGTATATAATTTATAAAAAAAAAAAAATTTAGAACCGCTCAATTAAAGGGCCCATGAAACGAATTTTGGCTTGGGATAAATCATTTTAGATTGAGATTTTACTAATAGCACATCGTTCAGTGGGCCAAACGAAAAAAAGGTAGAAAGTCAAAAGCCTGACTTTTAATGGGAAAATTTGAAAACACAGAGGACTATTTCATACCTCCACCCCTTCGTAAGCTCTCTGCCTTTTCACCGGGATACATCCGCAGTCCCAAAAGCGCGTCATCGGGTCCAAACGCACGTCACACGGCACCGGACCTCACTTATTCCCTTCACCCCTAAGCTGACATTGTGGTGGAAGCTACGCGCTTGCCGGACTAATCCGCCGCCTCTCTTTCATCACCTGACCTCATTCTCTGCGTGTGGGTATGCGCGAAGGAGCGTGATCACGTGGCAAGTCTGGCCGGCCCAACGAGCACACAGCTTCCACAGCACTGTCAGCTTCGGGGTGAGCAGGATGGAGAAAGCAATTTTCGTCTGAATTGTGAGCGACGGGCTAGTCTTCTAGGGGGACAATGGCTGTTTCCGGGTACACAAACCAGATTCCGAGCAAGAGGGGCCTCCCCTCTTTTCGTCTTCTTGAACTCTTTGGTGGAATGCGCGATTTATGAGTTGAGGAGGAAAGCTAAACAGGAAAAAGTTGGAAAAGCGTTTCATGACCTGTTTAAATATCTCGTAGTAAAACAAAATCCTGAAGTTGCAAAAAAGTGCGTTTTGACACATAAACAGCTGTTTATTTCACCCTGAGGTGGTCCAAGTAAAAATACAAAATATGGTGGATGTGGAAGAACAATCGATAACGTTTTGATTTTGAAAGTTTAATCAAAGCAATATTTGTTTAAAGCGAGAAAACAATTTTTGAATTTGAACTCTCGCACCACAATCCGGCGTCGCTTCTTAATGCCTTTTCGCCGCACAGCACGCCACCGTCGACGATAGCTGACACGATAAGGTCTAAAGAAAGAACGGAGCTTACTGCCTCTCTCCCTTGTCCGTCTTTTCAGCTGCAAGGAAAGAAAGGACGGGTATCGTGTAATAATCGGAGGTGCCGCCAGCGCGTAGCAATAGCAGGCCGTTTGTGCCTTTTGTACCCGAGGGCGGCTCGAAACGCGATGCCTACTAT